TTTGAGTTTTGTGGCATCGTCGTCTGCATTCGTCTGCTTATTTTACGACATCTTCGATTCATAGTGGAGTTGAAGGAAACCTGCTACTTCTCAGCCCTAATCGCGATCTTCTCGTCACCTCTGCCCTAGCCGCGGTCTTCTCGTCGCCTTTGCCCTAGCTGCGGTCTTCTCGTCGCCTCTGCCCTAGCATGATCTTCCCAGATCGTCGGCGATCCTCTCTGTTGCGATTAAACTTTGCCTTCTAAGCCACGCAATCCATCGTTGCAGCACTTCCCTAGTGACGACTCAGCTTGCTGCGCCACTTCGCCCCGTCTTCTCTGCCCTAACTGTGACTCTCCTCGTCAACCTACGATCTCATCAAGGGGCATAGCCGCAATCTCCTCTCCTCCCTGCGTTTGTGCCATAGCTGCAACGCTCTTCGTCAACCGCCGTCTTTGCTCTAGCTGAGGCTCTCCTCCCTCACACCGACCTTAGAGCTCTGGTCCTCTCCTACCCGAAATTGTTGAGGAAAGTACCGAATATGTTTGGGCAGTTGTTGATATTCACAAGATGCGGACTCATCTTATGGAATTGTAAGGAGTTCAACAACGCCATCAGGGGATCTCCAATCATGCTTTCCTTTTAAGCTTTTTGCCACCTCAAGTTGCAGTCTTGTACTGGTTTCTTTTTCTTTTTGTTCCCTACTCTTCTCATGAAGAACAAGGTGGAAAAGAAGAAGTATGCCTTGAAGAATATAAGACTTGATCGACAGACAAATAGATCTGCTCGCCAAGAGATGGAACTTATTTTGAAGTGCAAAATCTATTCATTGTAGAAAACAAGGATTCTTGGGTTGAAAAGGGTTGTTATGTTTGTATTATTATTCGTCCAATTCGGATCTTCTTCGCTAGGCATCGTTGTTTCTGTGGCATCTTTTACTACTTCTTATGCTTTGCTTCGTTCGCTTAAGCTTCGGCTTCAGCACTCCTTCTTAGATCGATGGCTTCGGCTTCGGCACTCTCAGGCTTCGGCACTCTTGGGCTTCGACACTCTTGGACTTTGGCACTCACTGCTTAAGAATTTTTGGTTCTGACAATGTTATCAGTTTCTTGTTGGCAAATTGATGTTTCTTGATCAATCAACATCAATTTGAGAGGGGATGTCAATAGGGGATGTCAATCATTTGAGAGGGGATGTCAATCAAGATGACAGAAATCAGGCAACTAAATTAGATAATTTCTATAATCAGGAGATCCTTATTTAACTTATTTTCAATGTCTTTATTATGATTTATTTCCTTTTAACTTAATATTTAGATTAGGAATATATATTATTAGGTTACCTAAAATAGATTATGCAGAATATTTTGTACCTAAAATAGATTGTAAGATTATTATTTAATGTAATGAAAGCAAAGGAAAAAGGCATCGCCTATTCAGGATTCAGCCTATTTGTTCAAAACTTTGACATGTAGCACTTAATTTCAAAAAGATGTAGAAGGAGACGATGAAGATGATCTGACCCCCCTCAAGGTAGAAGGGTGCATCTAGTTATGTGACTCATAAATGAACCTTTATCATTGCAAACCTACATGGAGAGAGAAAAAAGAATATAAAATCATAGATCGTATAATCTTAGGGTCTGTTTGGGGCAGCTGCAACTTATTGAATAATCTGTTGATAAACTGATTATAAATAATCTGCTGATAAGCTAGATGTGATGACTATTAGAAATTTTTATTTTTTTTTGGAAAAGTTATACCGCTGTCAGAAAACTGCCACCACACTCTAGGTGAGGTGTAAAAACGTTGCATTTAGCGTTTTCAAAACGCATAAGCTGTCAAAACGTAGTTTACCCAAATAGTCCAGGTGTGTTTTCAAAACGTCACCGCACTAAATAAGCTGCCCCAAACAGACCCTTAAAGAAAATTTGTGATCCATGACCTCCCAACTAGAAGATTGTGAATTAGAAGTCAGATAACTCATAAATAGACACTGACCTATGTTCGTTCTTTAACGATGACCTCCCAACTAGAAGATTGTGAATTAGAAGTCAGATAACTCATAAATAGACACTGACCTATGTTCGTTCTTTAACGATGACCTTCGGCGATTGGTTGATCCCAAGAGATAGTTGCTGAGAGAGTCGAGATCAAGTTTGAGTTGAGGTCAAATTAGCTCAGCTCATTTAATACATACCTGGGTCAAACTCGAGCTCGACTCAATCTCAGATTGCATACTCGAGCTAGACTAAAGGAAAAAAATATCAAGCTCAAGCTCGGCTCGTATACTAGAACTTCATTGGGAAGCTTGAGCTCGATTTATTTTATAAGCTTGCTTGCACCTGAAAATTCTAATGTTGTTCAATCTAACAACTAAAAAGAGTTGTAGATTTATATTGTAATTGTTTAAAAATAAATCAAAAACCACTTTGCACAAAAATTTCATCACAGGCCCAAAAATAAGTTATTCAGATACAAGAAAACATTACATACATACCACCTAATTCCTGTGCATCTACATATCTAGCACCCTAAACTTTACCTTTTATACTTATACCACTAAAACTTTTCACATCTCATAAAAAATACCACTTTTCTATCTTCTAAAAAAGAGAAATACACCGTTTCATGCAAACATAAGCTGCCATATATGTAAAAATTGAAGTTTAGGTTTTAAATATGTAAATATCTGTGGAGAACTTGACCATCGCAACTGATGTTGTGCTGTTTCAACCTTCTTGATCCATCTCCATGCTTGTTCATAATTGCAATAAAGAGAACACAGTGAAACTACCAACTCACAACTATGTCCTCATAAAGATATGTTAGGTATGGCTCATATATCAGATAAGGGTACAGGAGTAATTTTGTAATTACATATTGTACACTAGGGTTATATGTATGTTGTATCTGTAAGTCGTCGCTCTTGTTCCCGAGGACGTAGGCAAATTGTTGAACCTCGTTAAATCCATGTGTTCTTTCTTGTGTTCATTGATTCTTGCGTTCTTTGCCCTAAATTCTCAACAAGATCCTTCGTGTCATCAACATCACTCTTCATAATTGAGTTATATACTTCTAAACTATCTCATGGATGCTTGCTGCTACCAAAATTAGTCCCAAATCTTCCAAAAATGTATATAATATTGAAAAAGATAACATACTTTGAGCAAGTAAAGGCTTCAAATTTGTGTGCATGAGAACCAGCAGCATGAACTATGGTGCTGACAAAATTATTGAAAAGCAGAAACAAAAAATACAGCATTCAGAAGAGTCCCAACATTGAACCCATCTTTTTTTCATTTTTTTTTTTTTTTTTATATAAGGCTATACCAATAATGACAAAATACAATCAAAGTTCAATTGAATATATGAGAAGATAAATTAAGAAGAATAACCTGACTAAATATCTGAAGTATCTTCTTAGGATTTCCTGGAACATCTTCACAGACATTATCTCCTTCATGGACTTGCAAACGTCTCACTAGCTATAAATCATATGCTTACAGCATGAATGCATTTACAGAAAAAAATTATAAAGTTTTTCTTCATTTAATTAGTTTTACATTTAATTTAGGACTAATTTATAAACTACATGTTTACATATATACATAAATACAAACATATATACATGCATATGTATGTATGTATGTATGTACGTACACTATTTAAAGCCTAACAAAATAAAGCTTCATTTCAAAATAAACTCTTCTTTCTTCAATGTTTATTAGTTTACTTGAAAAAATATATTTCTGGTCAAGCAGCAATCGACCACAATTTTATGAAATATTTAATTTAATCTATACTTTGTACTCCTATAAAATACAGCATTCAAAGGAGTCCAAACCTAATTCTTCAAGCACCGAGAAACATATATTACACATGTAGGTAATAAACATCTAATTGACAACAGTTGCAATGAAATCAATTCATTAAATAGTTAGCAGCAAAATTACAAATGAAGATACAAGACACAATGCTTCTCCTTAAAGCGAGAATCGCCGAAATTCAACCTTGCGCCTAAAGACTAAAAATTTATCAAGTCATTAAGAAATGAAAATTAAGAAAAAATTCTAATGTACATAAAAAATGTGTCAACATTGATCTTAAAGGAATTCAGTGGTCCAAAAAGGAATAGTACGGTGAAAGCTGACCCATTGTCACAAGATTATGAGACCCACTTGACCGACCGAGCGAAGTCATACGAGCCAAGCCAACAAGGCCACAACCAATCAGACCACGTAGCACGCAAAAAGACAACTGCATGATTCAACCGCGGGCCATTCAGCCATAAATGAGATAAAAGAGCATCTGAACCGACCACTACAGGAAAGCCAACTCGATACGACAGTCTACCCTCCATCAGCGTCAATCCAAGGGAAGATCATCTCTACCATCCAATGGACATCTCAGAGGCTCTTTATAAGGGATAAAGGATTAACAACCAAGCTAGATCAACAAATCAACCCATGCTGACCAAATACAGCTGACCGAGTTGATTCTATCGACTCAAAGCCAACTACACTTAGCCGACTGAGCGAGAACGCAGTTGGACAAAAAGCTTATGCATGTACAATACTCTAGAAGAGACCCCTTCGAAATAGGGAAAAAATGTAATATCATCATTATACCGTCTCCTTTAAAAATAGGAAAAGTATTTTATGAATAAGACACGATTGATTATGATACATTCCTGTCATTCTTTCTCCCTTTCTTTCTCTTTCCTTATTTACACTCTATTTCGTTAATAAGATCAAGGAATGTAAGCGAGTCAAGCCGTCTGGTGACCGAGTCAGGCTCGACTCGATAAGTGGCTTGTGAACTGAGTTTTATGAGCTAACAAGCCAAGCTCAAGTCTGCCCCGACTCAACTCGTTAGTTCGTGAGTCGGCTCGTATAAAAAATAATTAATAAAATAATACTTAAAATATATTATAATTTAAAAAACTTTCTTTAAATTATTAAAAATGTTTGAAAACTTGTACTTTATATTTTATGTCAAGTCATTTTTTATTAATTGTCGCATAAATACTTATTCTATCTGTCATTTAATTATAACATTAGCTTAAATTAAAAATTTCTCTCTCATGCTAAACAAGAAAGCTCATGAGCCGGCCCGAACTTGTAGAACTAAGCTCGAGCTCGAGCTTGAACTGGATTAAATTAATCTATCTCAAGCACAAGGGTGGAATGGCTCGACCTCAACTCGACTCAACTCATTTACACCCCTAGGTGTAATTCATGGACAAATATGGATTCAACAGCCTAAAAGATATGATGAGAGTGGATCATGCCACAAATAAAAAGAGGGGTAGTTCAAATAGAAGATCACCATAACAGAGACACTGACAACATCGAGTGCACCAGATTATTAGCGGCCTAACAAATCCAAAAGTTGAAGGATCAGATATTGGAGGTCATCTAAGGCACGCTGATATCTTAGCGGCCCCCGGATGAAAGTTCGGCACCCAACGATAGAAGAGCCCCGCCAACTCTAGAGAGGGAAGGCAAATTAGGTCCCCATCAATCAATAAGCATTTATTCGAACAAGTTGAGGTGCCCCATCAGCCTAAGAATGCATTCTCATGGCAAATCTTTTAGGTCAAGCCTCCAAAGCGATTCAAGATCCCAGTGTTGAAGTCATGAGTCATACAAGGGGCGGACCGATTTGACTGAACATATAGCTTTCGTTAGAGTCGATCGCGTGTTTGCTGAGAATCACTCACGTGCTAAAATTTCATTTTTTTTTCTTTATTACGCTGAGGGAGTCAGCCATCAAGTGCTTCGAGTAATCATGTCATTTGTTGATTTCAAGTGGATATTTGTGGCATAATTTATCAGTGCTCACCTTTCTACAACTTTGCCAGATATAGTCTTCAAGAATGAGATGTTGGAAGTACAGCACCTAGAACCCACGGTTGCCCGAGCCGCCCAAACACAAGGGCTGAAAGAAGGACCCTTCTGATACAATTTAGGCCTATAGCGGCCAAAGACACTAGTTGAGTTGTTGGAGCTAGCCAATAATCACATATCAACAAAGAAGTATAACTCCAACCCGCACCCTCCAAAGTAGAATCCTCCACGTATCACCCACAGAAAAGGAACGCTCAAGGAAAAAAGTGGAAACTAAGACACAATTCACACCCTTATGCCCACCCTTGTTATGAAGATGCTCGGTCACCCCAAGATCATCAGACGACCGATAGAATGAACCACCGAGGGAGTCAGGCCTGATATCCTTACCAGCATCCAACTTGGTATGACCAGTACCCGCTACCCAACCATGAAACAACCAAACTAACTCTGTTGAGAGTTTTAATAGTCGAGATAATATAGGCCACACAAATTAAAATTTACAGTCAAAGAGTGCCTCTGATGAAGGCGGGAGCTTACCTCCGAGATCCTAAGAAATATTACTCCTATCATTGTGATCAAGTCATAACAAAAATGACTTTCGACACCTTTGAAGCTTAATCAAGGAGTTAATCAAATTGAGGAGAATGAAGGAATTTGTGGCACTTGGAGCAATGAGCCAGCTGCAGGGGAAGGCTCCAGTTGAAAAAATATCAGACAGACTAGTTTGAATTCAAGAAATTTGTATCACTGTTGTAGTTCCCATCCTCTTTGAAGGAGATGGAAACTTGTCCTGCCAAGCTAGCCCGAAGAGGCTTCGATCGAGAGAGTTATGCGCAGCCACCCTCGCACCCAAACATTGCTCACATCTACCCATAGTCTTTACCAGTGAAGACTTGCCTCCTAAGGGTACTCTCTACAATGAAGCTACCAATTTAACTGTGTTGATTGACAACTGTCAGATTATTAACACCCTCATTAACACAGACAGCTCTGTGAACATCCCCTTTAAGTTGGTGTTTGACAAGATGGGCCTTAAGAGTGAATGATTGATCGCTCTGTGGGCATCTAGAAGGAACTCCTTAAGATCGACGACCTACGAGAAGAGGGTCTCGAGACGAACAAGACCACCCATCAGATCCCTGCAACTGAAGGCGACACTGGTAATATTTTTTACTAAGTGAAACTTTTGATGCATGTCACAAGAATGCATTGATCGACACCATCTAGAGCCACTGAGATTTTTTTTTCTCGGTATGTCACCGAGTGCTTGGAGGACTGATTCACATGCCTTGCAACCACCTAAAGGTCAACCTGGGGGCTCAACTTATGAGGCAAAGGATGAGGACGTCTGCCCTTACCCTAACAGAGCCAATCCAGGAGGTCCAAAAGTTGTTGGAGGTCGACTACATCGAAGGGGTTTAGTAACCGATATGGGTGTTAAATGTTATCATGGTGTAGAAATCGATTTTCAAGTGAAAAATGTGTTGACTTCACTAATTTGAACAAAACTTGCCCTATAGATAGAAAGCATCAAAACTTATCGAGACATAAGTTGACCGTATAACGCAAGTGCATGTGTCAAGTAATAATGCAGTTCAAGAGTACCGCTTATCGATTCCACAGGAAAAGTGTAATATTTGTTTCCACATAATATCTTTAATTTACTGATCTAGTTAACCTAGCTTAGTCTTTGTCAAAAGAAGGTTTTTAAGTCCTAAGGTCCTAGCAAAATAGAATACTCGGCAATGAAAGAAAGCAGAAAATAGGAGAAGCTCATAAGTTACTTCAAGATAGATGAGGCTTGTGTCTCTGTGATTTGAGGATTGTGACGACCATGATTCTTCCTAAATGTTTTCCTATGTGACTGTTGTCAATCAGGGACATAATACTTCTTATGCCTATGTCTAGGTTAAAAGAAGTCTACAACTCATGAAGTTGAGACTTCCTCAATTACCATGACATTCAGCATGTTTTTTTTCCATCCCCTGAAAGGATTGTAGAATTCCGCTGGAATATGTCTATTCTTTTGGAATTATGTGGTTAACTCTTCATTTCCACTACGCAACAGTTAGAGGTCATAGTTTTATGAAACATTTTAACATCCTAGTTAATCAAACTATGGGTGAATTAAGTTCTGAGGTTAACCAACATAGGCTATGAAAACAGAAGAAAGAAAATGATTAACAAAAGAATATTACAGAAAATCTACAATACATACACTACTCACTACATCACAAAGACACGAAAAATTTAGCCGCTCATTAGGGAGAGAACCATAGCGAAAAACACCATGTGAAAATTCATTGCAAGCAACATTATTATGAAAAACTTACAAGAAATTAGTTTATCTGCAAGGTCAGCACCTTTCTCTCATACAACTCGTTCATAAATACAAAATAAAGAAAAACTCTCCCTTAAAGGCTTCCACGAAAGGAGAAAGCAAACTTCAAGAAACCCCTCAAAATCTCTCTCAAATTCTCTTCTTTTAGCGTCCAAGCCTCCTCTAATGCAGAACTTCCTCCAATAAACCCTAAGAATTGATTTTATAGCAGGAATCACAGCATGGGCTATCAAATTTCCTTTCTAAAGTATTTTCCCGCTCATTGGTGTGGTCATGCAGCTAGATACATGGGTCAGCATGGTCACGCCGCCCTACTGCTCCAGGTGGTGTGATCACACCAATTCCGGCGTGGTCACACTGTCTATATTCAATAGGTGGTGTGGTCACGTCGCTTCATGGCACTTTTCGCTTGATTTTTCTCGTTCTAACTCGTTCGTATTTAGCTCTTGCATCCTGCACAACATGAACAAAAATACATTTTTCAAGCATAAATATGTGATAAAAAAAATGAATAGCAGATAAAATGCATAGAAAATAGTAGGTAACACCACATAATATTGACAGGTGTCAATACCCCCAAACTTATCCTATTACTTGCCCTCAAGTAAACACATGGCTCAGTTGGGATTTTTGATTGAATTAGTGCTCATGCAGAGTTCTAACCTGTTTTATCAAAATTTGGTAAAATTGTGAAATATTATTTAGACTTAATTATCATTAAGGGTTAATGGTTTGACCTTCCCCTAATTCCATTATTTCTTTTCTTTATCTTTAAATTGGTGTCATTTAGAACCTCTTTCACAACCCTGTAATATCTTTAGCATAATTTAAGAGGATTTTAGCCAACTCAAAATTCAGTTAACTCTTATCCTTGAAAATCACTTATACTGTGGCTTTAATTAGAGGATCAAAGCTCATTTTATCACTTAAGTCTCATTAAACCCCTTCAACTTTCTTGTCAATCTTGAATATTTGTTGTGCCAACCCCAATTTTCTCCTTAGGGTCACTATTTGTTTTTTTCCTTTCTTTAGTTATTTTTTCTTCTTCTCATGAGAATTACTATATCTAGTTAATAAATTTTTTTTTCTTTTCTTTTGTTTTAAAATGTGAAGAGGAATTATGTTTTTTAGGCAATAAAACTGAACACTTAATTATTTTTAATGTTTCACTTCTAAGTTATTTTTTTTCCAGTTAAAACTTTAAGATCACATTAATTTGGTTAAAATGAACTAAAAAATATTAAAAATATTTTGGTTGGCTAATCAATATCTAAACCACCCATTTTTAAATAATCTATGGGTTCCTCTTAAATAAACTCTGAAGTTGTTAAGTTCTAAAATCTTATTATTACTACTTAAAGATGATCTATGGGTTCCTCTTAAATAAACTCTGAAGTAGTTAAGTTCTAAAATCTTATCATTACTAACTAAAGTTAATCTTTTCAAAACAATAATTATTGGTTTTAACTAGAATGTCATAAGCGGTTTGAATAAATCAAAAAAACTTCTAGCAGGAGTTACATAATGAAGTATAAATCTTTTGTTGAACTATGTGAACTACCTCTCAGGTTTATAATAAGGTAGAGTTTTTCTCCATAAAACTTACTTTTCTACACATGTAACAGTAAAGTAACAACAAAGATACACAAGTACAGGAAAAAGTAAAGACAAATTAAATCACATGAATCTCAGAAAGTAAGGTACAAAGTGCAACATGTAAAAGTAATCCAACTCTGGTATTCAACACTGCAATAGTACATATATCAATATATATATATATATATA